TTGCACATCTCTGTTGCTTGTGGGGCTCGCACACAAGAATTTCACTCGCATGTGCTGTGCCAGTGTGCCTGCACATGTGATGTGACAATAAAAGTGATTTGATTTGATTTGACAAATGTCTTTGTGCTGGGAGTAAATAAGTAAGGTGCTGCATTCATTTAAAGAAAAGAGTTCTGGGTGATATGGGCACCAATAGATCACAACAAAGAGGCGAGATACCTCAATCGTGTTCAAACATTTGATCACTCAGCATGTATTTAATTTGCATGAATGTGATCTCTTTGCTGTGCTGCTTAGAAATGGTGGTGACTCTTAAAGGGGAGCCAGTGAGAGTCGATAACGAATCAAATCGATATGTGATGTCCATAATGGAATTAAATCACTAAACTCTTACCACTGCCCATTCCTATTTACAGCATATGACATCTGTATATGTATATGATATCTGCCCTGTGTAAACTAGTATTCGACAGCATTAGTGTCTTGGGGAAAATAAGCTTACCTGCATTTTTTAAAAAAGTTACTTGAGAAATATGGTCATGGTCCTGATAATAAAGGTTTGCTTTTCGCACTGTAATTGTGTCACAAGTCTGCATTTAGGTCTAGAAACCTACTTAGAACAACACACGACAAAGACTGATGTAGTGATCGGTCAAACAGATTTTTCTTTTCTTCAGCTTTTATACGTTTGACGCATGACCATGTTCAGTCTCCACTCAAAGAAAAGCTGTAATTTTGATATTTCGGGCATTTACTGATACTTGTTCTTTTGTTCCATGCAAACAACCTGATTATAGAGTATAGTATAAACATACTCAAAGACATCTTTATCACTTGCACAGCACACTGATTTTTTAAAAAAAAGAAAAGTAAAATACCCATTTAAAACTGGGTATATCTGGGCACCTAGTCGGAATTAATTGTAATTTAAGGCAAATGTTGTTTTCTTTGTTGAATAGCAGCAAAACCTTTGGCCATGGCTTTACAGAAATGTTGTGTGTGACACTATTTCCTTCATCATCTGCAGAGACAGGCCCTGGCAAGCTGCTCTCTTTTTTCCTGCATCCAAGAAGGAAAATCTTTTAGTTAACCGTTATAGCTTTAGCCATGTATAGGCTGATAAAAATGAGATGTTCCTGTGGATCTTTGTTTGTTAAAGTCACAATCAAGACAGTTTTAAAGAGCTCAGCTGACAATGGCAAAGACATTAGCACAAGCCACAGTACCTCAATCAAATCTTCATAGAACATGTAGAGGAGATTTGAATAAGTCTGCTTCTTTTCCCACCAGCCATTCACATGGTCATACCACGATCCAAAAGCCCCTGTAGCCACAAAACAATACACAGAGGAATTTTTACACACAAAATGAGATGACATTGTTTTTCCTGGAACCTGAAACTACACTGGACTCACTGTTTCCCTCCATGAATTCCTGTAGAAAGGTGCTCCAGTCTCCTGGTTCTGGCTGAAGGCTGTTCATCCGGTCAAAGTGAAAATAGGACACCGCGTTGTCCTTTGCATTACGGGCCACATAGATTATCTACAGAAAGACACAACACTAAATTCTAATCTGTGGGTTTCATTAATGTATATGCATAAGTTCATGACTTTTACCCTGCAGTCCTGCTCCCAGAAAGACTTTGGTACAAACTGGACAGGAAGGTGGGTTTTAATGAGACGAGGAGTGGTGGGAAGTTGTTCTGCCAAGTCTGTGCCTGAATGATAAGAAAGGGTTTGTTTGCAACTGATTAAAAGGTTCTTTTAGACCATATGTCAATAATACTAATGGCCTGAATAATGTAGATGTTTTAAATAACCTGACATGTTTGCACACTGACAAACTGCTGGCTCTTAGAAAGCCACTGAATAAAGGGCTATTTTAGCAGCTGCTTCTTAAGCATGTGAAACAGAAACATCCAATAATAGATCAAACAGGTTGAACCTGTTTCACAACAGTTTCTGGGAATTGGTATAACGGCTGCCCTTTAATATTTTTGTTTAAGTATATAGCCAAAATGAAATTGACTTTGAGCTTTTTGTTTTGGTGTAATACGATAGCATAAAATAGGATTTAACCTGAAGGTATGGGAGGTACACAGAACTCCAGGAAGGGAACTCTTTCATGAATAGGGATGGTTGTCTGACGGTCTGGACCCATATCGCTAAAATACAGAAGATCTAAGATGTAAGAGACCCATGTAGTTCCTGAGATAAAACAAACAAACATATCAATAGATACTGGTTAGCAAGATACGTCGATCTATTTTTCTTCGTGAAAAAATACTGCAGAGCTCTTACACATCATTACCTGCTTTAGGGTACGTAGCAATAAGAATATCATCTGGTCTCGCTTTGAAGTTCTGAATGTTGTCCCAGTCATCAGTGAAAATGTTGATCATGGGGACTCCATGGAAGTCGAACAGTTCTGGCCGAGGTGGTGCTGCCATCTGTGAGAATTGCTTGTTTGTAAAATCCAAGTGTCAGTCACATCAGATTACATGTGCACCCATCTATCCACAGTGTTGGAGAGTAACGGAATACATGTACCGCCGTTACGTATTTAAAATACAAAATATGAGTAACTGTATTCCGTTACAGTTACCGTTTAAAAAGGTGGTATTCAGAATACAGTTACTTTGTTGAAATAAATGGATTACACTGGGGTACTTTCCTGTTTCATATTGTCGCGGGTCAGGACTGTTTGGGTTTTGTTTGACAGCTACCTGTTATTCCAGGCGGCAGGGTTACGGTTGCCATGGTTACAGGGTGACGCTCTCTCTCTGTGTGTTTCCTGGGTGAGAGAGCGCCTTTTCGTTGTTGTTGTTGTTGTTCTAAGCTAACAGGCAGAATGCTACAAGCATAGCTCTAAAGAATGTAGCATCATGGGCAGTGTAGTCCGTGCTGCAGGGAGAATGGACTGCCATACACGTTATGGGTCTGTGAGCGAGGGAGGGAGAGAAAGGGGAGTGGAAAGGTACGTGTTGTCATCGAGGAAAAACGGGAGCTGGAAGCATGTAAATATAATAATAACCACTGCAGCCAAGAAGAGAGCCTGACGAGCCCAGTTGTAAGTAAGCTATTAAGACTCGACTGTACGCTGTGTTCGTGTTTTCCTCCGAAACAATAAGTTCCGTTGGAGCAGCCTTTCAACGCCTCTCTCTGTCTCTCGCAAGCAAAGTTGACCCACACAACAAAGTAAAGCTATTTTTCGGCTACGAGCCGACAGGGACCCCGCCGTATTAGTCAGAGGTCCCTTTACTACAGTTCGGAGTCGCGGACCTTCAGTAATAGTAATAAATCACACAGCAATAGTACATTCACGTTGTTGTAAAAAGCATGATAATATATTAAGTAATCCAAAGTATTCAGAATACGTTACTGTCATTGAGTAACGTAACGGAATACGTTACAGAATACATTTTGGGGCATGTATTCTGTATTCTGTAATGGAATACATTTTAAAAGTAACCTTCCCAACACTGTCTATCCACTACTCTACTCATCCAATTCAGGGTTAGAGTTGGGCTGCAGCATATCCTAGTATAGGGCAAGAGGTCAGTTAGAGATTTAGAGATTTAAGTATTTATTGTCATTGTCAGAGAACAATGAAATTGCGTTTGGGGCTTCCGTACAACAACAAAAAATACCCCTTAAAACCCAAGTCTAAATATTTACCCCAGTGTGACTCCAGTGCAATAAGACAATCCTTAGCAACAACATAAGAACATGACAAGTAATGTTCATAAGAAATTCGGGAGGGGGAAAGAGAATAAAGATATGGCCCTGGACAGGCTGCTAGTCTGTCACAGAGAGGCAGAAAAACATTTACACCTACAGCCAATTTAGAATCACCAGTTCACACGGCCAGATGGTGGAGTCAAACTCACGACCTTCTTGTTGTGAGTCACCAGTGGTAAAAACCACACTGACACACCCTGTTAAATCTAAAATCACATTTTAAAGAACTTAATTTAAAACCTTCTCCTGGCTGGTAGGAGCTTCCCATGATGCACTGAGCATTTCTTTTGCATTCACACATCATTCTTGATTTCATACAACACTGTTGCATTTAATAATAGTAATTACTAAACTCTGGCTCTCTCTCCCAAAGCATGGCTTTTGTCCTGCCTCTCTTCCTTTTTTCTGAAATGTTTCTATATGAAGTGAACTGTTATTCAATTGAATGACTTGAACATTTGTTGTCTATCAGTGAAACTAAACTTAAAAGCAGAAGTCAGAAAAATATAATTCTTCCTGTTGACGAATGAAAAGTGAAGCACATTATTAAACGTCCACATCTAACAGTTTAGCATATTTGCATTAATAAATATAGTTTAAAGAACTCCACACTCACCGTACTGAGTAGTATTTCTTGTACTTGGCTCGGATCTGGATCTTCCACAAGTCTCTTTGTCACTTAACGTTCGCTGCAAAATACTGCATCATTTCCTGATATGTGTTGTAGTTTTGGTGCCCAGCCTCTCTGTCCCTCCCTCCCTTTCCCTGTGTGTGAGAGAGAGAGATAGAGAGCATGGCTTACCTTTCTGCTGAATGGCGGGAGGTGTGTCTTCTCACCTGTTTGCCAATTGTGAGATTGATACACCACCGCTCGGTTGGTCTGCGTCTCTTCGCCTTGATCAAATTCTCACTCTAAACTGCTTCTCTGCTGCTGGGTCCTCCACAGGGTCCTCCCCCATTTAGTAATTGTGATACGCTGGACTGCACAGACTACATTGCACTCCTACATTCATACTGATTGTGACTGCCAAACATGAATACAGTCAGATGAGCTAGGTTAAAGACTTTTATTCAAAATTGCCAGCAAAAATGACCAACGGGCAAAATAAGCGGTTTGGTTCTTTGTGTTCTTTGCTTCTTATGGATTAAATGACTTAATTAAGTGACTGGAATAAATAAAGGGCACCAACCCTTTTTGTCTTTACTTTAAGAGTATCGTTTTAATAGTTTAACATTTATGTTTCCACTGGTGGAGATATTCACCAAGTGGAGGACTGTAAGTATCAAAGGGTCTTTTTAACAAGTGACGGCTGGAGGATTATGGGCAGATGGATTTGGACCGTGGCTGCAATGATCCAGATGATGCAATTGTCTGTTCTGGTAAAGAGAAAGCTGAATATAAAAGCAAAACTGTCAATTTAGAAGTTCACTACATCACTACCCTCACCTATCATTGTAAACTCTAGGGGGTGCCTGAAAGAATGTGATCTCAGATACAAGCAGCAGAAATATGCTTTCTACAAAAGGTGGCTGGCTCTTCCTTACAGATAGCGTGAGAAGTTCAGTCATCCAAGATGGGCTCAGATTGAGCTGCTACTCCTCTGCATTGAAATAAGCCATTTGAGGTAGTTTGGGCATCTGACAAAGGGCCTCCTGGACACCTCTTTTGTGAGATTTTTGTGTCCCACCGGGCTGAGGCCCAGGGAAGACCCAGGGCATGCTGGAGGGATTAAGTCTTTCAGCTAGCCTGGGAACATTTCTGCGTTCCAGCTCATTAATGCAGTGTGCTCCACTGATAAGATGGAGGAGATGGGGATAGGGAAGTCTGGGCTTCTCTGTTCAGAGGCTGACCCACAACCTGAACCAGGGATTGGATGGAACAGAAACAGAAAATGGATGGATTAATGAAACATGCACACTGGTATTCAGTTTCATTTCTGTGTAGCCCTTCATAACATGGAGATAACCTTTAAGGGTTTTTTACAGAAAAATCACAGCTACGACACGTCTCATTTTTGAGTTTCTGTTTTAAAATGCCTCTGGTAGAAACTCACCTTGCCATTATACCCTTTGACACCAGCAAGAAGAGGTGGCATAAACAGACATTCTTTACTTAAGTACAAGTACAGATGCTAGTTTTTAAAAAAATACTCTAATAAAAGTACTGATTCAACTTCTTTACTCAAGTAAAAGTAAAAGAAATAGAGGTTCTGAAATGTACTCAAAGTAAGTGTCAGGCGGTCGCTGTGTGGAGCGAGAGAAGAGAGGGCAGGGCTCACGGGTTGGTGAAGGATGTGGACGATCTTTATTATTATTAATAAACATCGTCCACAGCCATATTTTTATATTTATTATAAAGGCAGAATGGATACAACATGAGATGAACTGATTGACTGAAGGGCTGGCGGAACTAAAAACACACACCTGGGATTGACGATGACAAGTCAAGCAACTGAGGAAAAGTGAGTTCTTAAATACTCAGTGGATAATAATGGATAATGATTATGATTAAAAACAGGTAAGAACACAGCTGAACTGAATCTGACTCATCACACACAGGAAGTGGAACAGAAAATAATGCACACACACTGAGGATTACATACTAAAAGAGAAAAACGTGAAAACTAAACAGTGACAAAGTCCAAAACTGAGAACACTGGGTCAATGACCCAGGAACACCGACAGTAAGAAAGTAAAGGTAGCTCCTTTTACTTTCTTGCTACGAGCAGTTATGCAAAGCAACCTGAGCCTTGTCCCACATTAATGTGATAATAAATAATATTAACAGATGGAAATGCAAACTTTATTTTAATTATTCTAATAAGTGTACTCAGCTTGATTGAGTTAATTAGAACATGAGCAGAGAAAAAGAAGGAACACAAAGGACTATATTTTCTGTTGCTACATTGTAGAGGGAGACTTTGCCTCTAAACAGGAAAATGTGCACAGTCAGGGGTTTATGTGGATTCAGTAGGTGGTTAAGCAAATCATGATTCCCAGTAATTTCTACTGAGAGCTCTGCTGCTTATCCTGGCTGATGTCCATCCTCTACACCAGTGGGTCTGTGAAGGTTCTCAGTCATCCAGGTCATCGTAGTCAAAGGAGCTTGCAAAGAAAAGTGTCTGGACTTCTTTAAGTTACTTGAAGACGTTTCACCTCTCATCCGAGAAGCTTCTTCAGTTCTAAGGTCAAATGGTGGAGAGTCCCAGATATAAACCTAGTTCACCAGGGAAAACACAAAGGACAACTGTCTGCCTTTCCTGGACTGCGCTGTGCACATTGAAGAGAACGGCAACCTCAACATCGAAGTTTACCGGAAGCCCACACACACGGACCAGTACCTCCTCTTTGACTCCCATCACCCTCTGGAACACAAACTTGGAGTAATTAGGACCCTACACCACCGGGCAGAACATGTTCCCTCTAAGCCTGAAGGGAAAAGAAGGAACACACACATGTAAAGGAAGCACTCAAAACGTGCGGCTATCCTAAATGGGCGTTCTTAAAGTCAGCAAAGAGGCACAGAAAAGAAGACCAGACACCAGCGAGGGAGGATAAGAAGGACAGACGCAACAACATTGTCATCCCCTATGTAGCCGGTGTATCAGAAAAACTCAGGAGAGTTTTCTCCAAGCACGACATCCCGGTGTATTTCAGACCCAGCAACACACAACACATTTACGACACCAACTCTCTGCCATCTATAATCCAGTTTTGAGATCCCTTCCCAGACGCCTTAACGCCCACTCACATCCTGGGCCATCTGATCTCAGGAATTCACATGATAAGGTGGGGCCAGGTTTCACAATGAGCTCACCCGAAACTCTGGCTGATTGGGGCCCGCACCCAATTTCACACCTTGGCTCAGGCGATTAGAGGATCATCAGGGGGTCCTTTTGTCCCTCTGTGGGGGGAAACTCCCACTAGGTTTATATCTGGGACTCTCCACCATTTGACCTTAGAACTGAAGAAGCTTCTCGGATGAGAGGTGAAACGTCTTCAAGTAACTTAAAGAAGTCCAGACGCTTTTCTTTGCAAGCTCCTTTGACCTCTACACCAGTGGTTCCCAAACGTCGAGGACTTTAAGGGCAGTATCATAGATCTGAAAAAGACTGCAATGGGCTAAAAGACCATCAGCCAGAAGTTTGGTTAGAAAATGACAATTGCGACAATTTTGCAATTATTCAAAAAAAAAAAAGAAAAAAAAAAAGAAACATAAAATATGAAATGGCCAGCGGCCACAATCAGTATGGTTAAATGGTTATGCCAACAAGGATTTTTCATAATTATCAGTTAATGAAAACCCAAAGTGCTTGGAAGTTTACAAAATGTGGAATAAATGTGCTCTTTAATGGGGTAAAATTAGTTCCAAAACCAAAATATCTAAGACACGCTTGTGACTATCTATCAATAAATAGACTTTATTAAGACACTACAGCTGGTGCAAGATGCTAGCAGGCAGGGGATACATGTAACGCCATAACCAAATGACCAGCATAGTACACAGAAACATTTATGTCAATTATGGCCTGAAAGTCCCGAGGTCAAAATGGGAGGGTCAAGAATGACTGAGCTGAGATCCTGCGGGACTTCCAGATATAGATGATGATGGAGATGAAGATGTGGAGGGTGAAGGTAGCGTCTCTAATAAATGAAACTAAAATAACAATAACAAAAACAAAGATCAATCAAATAAGCCAATATGGCAAAACCGTAATGATCCACTTGGCAATGTCAATCCATTGGGCATCTTTCTGGCCTTCAGACAGTAATTCTGATGGCTAAAGAACCAAAAGCGACAGGCGCAAAAAACAAACCAAAAAAAAAGAAAAAGATAAAAATTAGGTAGCAGCGGTCCTAGTGATAATTGGAGCACTAGGTGCAGTGACTCCCAAGCTAGGCTCCAGAAGATCCCTGGAACAACATTGGAGATCTCTGTCCAGAGGAGCACAGGAACAGCTAAGATACTGCGCAGGACCCTCAAGCTCCCAGAGCTCTAGTAGAGGAACCGAGTAAAAGATAGAAGGGAATTATTTAAACATATATATGTGTGTGAAGAACGGACCCAACACACAGTCTTAATGTGCTCAATCGAGGCTTTATTTTTTAACTCTCAGCAACTTATTCTGTTGTTTTGATACATCGTAAGCAAAAAACAGGCAAAAAAGCTGCTGGCAAAAAACCCCTCCAACTCGCTTGTCACTCTGCACAGTATATATATAGTGTCTGTTGCAATAAAGTGAGTGAAGCCAAACATGATGGCAGACTGCCACAGATCACTGCTGAGGAAAGAGGAGGCGTTCAGCTTCCTCATAGTTTCACACCTGCATGAAGCAGCCTCACCCTGACAGCTTCAAATCACTGTGTCAGCTGATCACTTCCTGTCCTGTGATTGGCTG